ATACGTGCAGCTTATTTTGCCGATATAACGTAGGGTTGCCTATTTAGAAGGGACTTAAATTTTAAGAAAACGTCATACATACCTTTCTTTAAAGTGCTGTATCTTGGAAACGTTGTAACGAAACTTAATGATAAAAAAATGTATTTCTTTCGTCTTATTATGGGCTTTAATTGTACATTTTTTACATTAATGTGCAACGTATAAAAAACAAAAAAAAAAATTAAGTAAACATTTTTCTTTTTAATTTTTTTTTCGATTATAGCATTTAAAATTTTGTTTTTTTACATAAAAATGTCAATTGTATGAAGTTGTATATTTTTTAAAGAGGAAAGGTGTGTAAAAAAACAAAAACAATATGAATAAACGATATTAACTTTACTAAAGATCTAAAATCATGAAAATCCCTTCAAGGAAATTGCAGAATTGAACTTTGTTACAAGTTCACATGGGAAGTCTGCTTACGACGTCATTGGAGGAAATTTTAAGAGACTAGCAGCTAGAGCAAGTCTTCAACTCCTGATGTTACAACAAATTCGTACAGCCGAAGCCCTCTACCAATGGGGTGCTGTATGTTTCCAATGGGATGCATGTAAAAAATAACTGCAACTAACTTTTCAGTGGACTTTATTTCGACTATGACTACGTGCCAATTACTTTAATCCTATTTTAAGCTAGTTTAAAAGGTTAAATAACATCAAGTTAGGGAACTTCATATCCTTATTTAACGAATCTTTAAATCAATAAATAATTGTTTTTCTTTTTAGTTCTTATTAGTTAGTTTTTTAACTATAATTTTATTACTCATTAGGTTTGTTTTTAGGAAAGGTGTGTATTTCCTTTTTCTTCTTTTGATAAAAGGACTAACCTTGAAGCTATCATTCATTGTAGGTGTAATATTCTTTTGCAATGAACATCAACATCAACAACACTCTATTTAACGCTATTTAAAGGTGTATTCGGCTGCGAAACCACACCTTCCAGCAATGGGAAGCACGAACATCAGCGCCGCATTTTCGAATTTAGAAAAAGAATCGAAAGAGTTGGGTCTATCTGTGTACGAGTACAAGAAATAGTACTTCCTGGCAACACATAAAAAAGTCCTCACGTTCTGGGACACACGTCACTGTTAGCAGTTATAACTTTGAGATAATCAAGGACTTTTTCTACCTAGAATCCAGCATAAGCCTGAAGATCAAGATCTATGGCCCTGTCGCGTGGGCAAAGATTGTCGGAGAAGATGCAATGACGAACTGTACGAGTTGTTTAACATGGACTTACAAACCTCGCAAAGATGGAAGACAATTGGCAAAGTTCTTTGGTCTCAGCCCAAACCGACTAACAGTTGTAGAGCCAAACAAGAAGAAGAGGAGAGCTCATAACACCGAAAGGCATTATAATTAATTTGGTATTTATTTACATTGGCTCCGAGACACACATTAGCTTTCTTATAAAGGCAGCATTTTATGGCACCCCTGTCACCATTCGAATTTAATATCAGTGAGGGGCACATTCAGATTTTCCAAAAACACATATAAGGGGGTTACAAATGCTGCTGGCTTTGAAACGTCAACTAACGGTAGGCGTAGTAAACGTGTCATTGTGACGGACTCGTGTGCAAGAGAAAGAAGCGAAAGCAAAGACGTGATTGGTGTCGACTGTCCCCATGGGGTCGAGTCCGAATAAGCAAGAGTTGAACCTACTACGGTATCCAGACCTTAATAGCGCCAAAGTTACGCGTTCCTCTCGAGGTAGGATAGACGAGGTGGGTTACGATAGAGGGTACAAAGCTAGTATTTTTCTCTACTGTCAATGTTGTTTAGGGCCTGTCTGTACATCGTCGATCCCAGTAGTTGTGTGGTGCAAATCTGTTGGTTGGTTGGTAGAAGCGTCGCTTGCGTACATTCCCGGGACCCAATTAGTGCTGAAAGCACCATTTTGATACGCTTTCTCTGGGACCCTTGATTTTATCTGCTTTCACGATTCATTGGGCTCGTCAAACCATTTGGATTTTCCGAGGAATCTATTTAGGTTAGTAATGGTGAATTTTGAAACCTCCCGCAGATTGTGGATGGAAAAACTCCCGAGTGTGTTCTGCCTTATTTGTGCCAACGCTGGGCACTCGCAATGATAGTGTAGAAACGTTTCTTTACTTCCCTCCCGTTATATCCTCTTCTGTATCTTCATAGAGATTCCTTCTAGTGTGCCTAGTAGGGATCTCTGCTGCCGAAAAGTGCCCGTCTGTTAGTTTATTCACACTTTATTCACAAGTAGAAAAAGGTTTGATGTGCCCCCGGCATGGATATTTAATTGTAGCTTGACCTTCTTGGACCAGCTGGTAAAATGTGTTGCCTTAAAGTGAAGAAGCGAGAAAGATCGGAATAAAAGTCATTTATTTCCAATACAAGCCATCAATTCCATTGATATCCCCCAATATTTGGCACCACCCTGTGTGCAACCTGTGTAATTATTCTCAGCTTTAAGGTTTGATAAGAGTGCTAACGAGGGTTGAATATAGAAATAGTTCACCGCCCCTGTCTTAGTGCCAATGTGCTCCTACTCGTAGTAGCGTTTCAGATTTTCATGTGAAGAGGTGTTTCGTGTCATGCGGGGACTGCCGCAGTACCAGGCGGTTATCTCCGCACTCTCGTCAGTTTTTGTGGCGCAGGTAAGCGTGGAAACTCTTTGAGTGCTAGGAAACACCGGCACGAGCTTTAAACAACCGCGGAGGCTTTGTTTGCCATATGGCGTGAACAACAAAAAGCTACATACCTATGTGATCTCTGGGCAGAAGAGGTATCTGCCAGTTCCATATGTTGCACCTAGCCGAATTGGAGTTCGAATGGAGTCTTTTTTGGCATACGCAGCAGATGTAAGTTTCTGGACCGGATTTGGGCTCCATTTCGGCTCGAACTAGAAGAGTTCGGGGCAATCAAGGAACGGACAAAGGGAAGATTTTGCGGATCTAGACGGGACTATCGCCGAAAAGGCTTACCCCACGCCTAGAGAAATTTCGACTTCGCGAGCAGTGGAATCACATTTCCCGCTAATTAAGTACAGCCACCGAAAGAGTAAGTGGATTTCTGCGAACCTGAAAGATCAACTGGTACGATAAGGAGTGTAAAAAAAAGCTGCCTACAGGGCCACGCTGCTAACGAGTGCAGCGCAAGCCATGTGAGATTATTATAAGGAACTGAAGAGGAAAGCGAGACGTGTTTGGCGCAATAAGAGAGAGGCCGAAATACGTGAGTTCAAAGAGCTTGAGATGCTGGCCGTCAGAAAAAAACGTACGGCAAATTCATCATAGAGTTAGGCGACTTCGGAAGGTTTCAATATCAGGGCGAACATCTTGAAACTGGGCAGGGCAATCCCACTGCTTAAACCGGGGAATCCCGCCAATAAAGAAGTCTTATCGCCCGATTACCCTCCTTTCCCCGGTAGCAAAGACACTTGAGGCCTTACTACTCCCGCACTACACAAACCACCTGACCCCAGACAGTCATCATCATGGGTTCCGTAAAGTGCACAGCACAACATCAGCACTTAACACCATAAACACCCAGATACGTCGTGGCCTTAACCGAAACCGCCCCTGTGAGAGAACAGTTTTAGTATATTTAGATCTGTCAAAGGCCATTCACTCCACGCTACCAGAAGATATTGAGGCTTGTTCTCTCTGACAGGGACTCAAGAGGTGGTCGGCAGTCCTCTGACTGGTCGTCGTTCGTCAGTCATTTTCAAAGACGAAAGCAACAAACAGAGGAAAATTAAACAGAGGGTTGTTGTTTTAGCGGCTACAGAGGGTCCCACAAGGTGGTGTCCTTTGCCCGCCGCTGTTTAATTTTTACAAATCAAAGCTTTCTCAACCACCAGGTGGGTCTCGATGGTCTCTTGCCCTGACGACTGCTCAATAATGGCGTCTGCGAAAGGAATTAATGACTTGTGTTCGAAAGTAAACGGTTACCTCTCCGAACTTTCTCCCTTCTTTACTGGAAGAAGGAGGTCAGACTGCAGCTGAGTATTGACGTCGACTGCGAACCAATTCCGACGGTGCATAGCCCGAAAATTCGCGGAGTTACCTTCGACAATCTGCAACACCTGGAGCAAAACAAAGAAACGTTGTTGGCAAAATACGAGGCAATTTGCCGGCCGGTCCTAAACTTTGCAGCGCCCGTGTAGTCGCCGGGGACTAGCAGGACGCAGTTGACAAAGCTACAGACATGCCAAAACACGGCACTCCGGAGCGCGTCAGGATGCCCCTGATGTCGCTTCAATACCAACTTCATGACTAGACCCAGATACTTCCCATCTGGGAGCAAGCAGTTCCTAGTAGGGTATCACAGACCTAGGCACCGGAACAGACAGCTTGAGGAAGAACCAAGGCGCGTCTAGAGGCATCTCTACGAACTGACGGACGAAGTGCAGAGGTTCAAAAAACAGCCTCTGGACCCAACTGCATATCAACAGGCCTTAAACGGCAGCCCTGGCTACTGCAGCAGGCTAAACTCGTACCTGAGCAGAGTGAACGCCACATGACTAGCAGCACCTCTTCGCATGCCCGCAAAATCTCACCCCGCTAACGCCCCTCCCCTATGGACAGATCCGGTGGAAGTTGCACACTTCCGGGAATCCCTTTAGCTGAGCCTGACGACAACGTTAATGGACAAGCCGCTACAATAACAACAACAATGCCACCTCCGCGTTGGAAAGACCACGTGGAGAAGGATTTGGCTTCCCTTGGCATTTCCAATTGGCGTCAGTTGGCACAGAAGAGAAAAGATTTAGCGCCTACAGCGCCAATAAAATCGTAGGAACGACTTTTTGCTTTAATGGAGCCGATATCCTAATTTTATCCCTGCAGAATTTCTCAATGACGTAATTTAAAGACCATTTAGCTTTTTTAAGTTCAACTTTCAACTTTATTTATGAATACGTGAAAATACGTGAGCTCTCATTTCCCTAGCGCATGACGTTCGTAGACATTCTCTTATCATCTTTGTTTCTTTCTACAACTGTCGGTTCAATCATGCGTGCAATTATCAGTTTTATTGGATCAATGGCCAGTAGATTTCCATTTCATGCAAAGTGACCGATAAAAAAGCAATAGAAAATATGTGTATGTAGTATGCGCAGACGTGTACAGTAAATTAAGTTAATCGTTTTAAAAGCCTTAAAAAATGCATTGATTTGCACAAAACGCAGTGGCAACTGTATTTATTAAATGAACTTTATTTTCAATTTTTATAGGGAGTTTGGCAATCAAAACAAATGCAAATCATTTGTACTAATTTTTTGGTTTACGCTCTCAAACAAAAATACAAGAGTTTAAGAAAAACGACGAATCAGCAAGTACGCATAATTTTTTGTTCTAAGGTTTGTCAACCTGTGATACTACAATGTTTTCTGTAATCTACCTTACCTAAAGTTTCATTTGTTCTTTTTGTCTAGTTCTTCGTTTTTTCTTTGGGCAAGTGAAACCAGTCCCAAGAGACGGCGCACTTAATTACAAATATACATACATTTCTGATTTTCATTTATTTTTTCTTAACAATAAATTTAGTTCTTTTTGATTTTAATTTGGATTTTAATTAAAATTTGATTCAAATAATTAAAAGCAATATTTTATGTTGTTTATAACAAATAGTTAAACTACAAAAGGTAAATCATTGCGTAAATCAAATTTAATTAACTGTAACTACGATTACGTTATTTGGTGATGTTCTGTGCGCCTTTGCGTCCTTTACGTCTCTGCTGATGCATACATATGTGTGATCAACGTAAATTGTTTCCTGTTCAAGTTTTGTCCCCCTCTACTTGTTATAATGAGTGTATTTGCGAATTATTTTGATTAGATATCAATAAGTGAATTCATGTGCCAAACAGAACTGCAATTTGAAATTAATAATCACTCCTGTAGTTTTTAATTACGTTCGAAGTTGACAAACAAATACACTAATAATTTTCTCTCGAGGTTGTTCTTAGAAATGCAAGCAAAACTACGCAGAAAAATTTAGAAGTGCTGTAAAAGTTGATCATGATCATAAATAAAAATTGTAATCTGTGAAATTTGTTGCTTTTTCTGTTGTATATTATTTTGATACTTCTTCCACCGTTTTTGTTGCCTGAAACTGCTGTAACATTTTTTGTTTTATTCTCCGCTTTTATTACTGCTACTGTAACTGTCGTTGTAGACTTTGCTTCCTTTACACCTATTAACCCAAAAGCTAATTATCCAATTATCAGACCGCAGCCTAGTCGAAACTGATTTTTAGTATGATTCAAGCGCCCGCTCAGAGCGAATGAAAATGGCAAAGGCTGCAGCCGCTTCTCCAATACACCGCAAACATTCCAATTAGAGTCGAATGAACCTACAAAGAGGAAATGCATATAAGTATCAGTGTTCGGTAAATCTATCGCCATTATACCTCTAAAAACGAGATCAGCTTTCGGTAAATCCACTTGGTAGCCGATCGTGGCAACAGACTCTTGCATTCTAAGACTAGTTTCCACTTCGACACCAATCTGCAATTGTTCACTGGCTTTTTGGTAATAGCATACATGTACGCCACCAGGTCCCAAAGTTCCCGACCACACCGAATCGCCTTGTGTATAACGTCCAACGGCTGATACAACGGCGATTTGACCACCGGGTACATTAGGACCGTATTGGTAGGCAAGTTCGGCACCGAGCGCGATGTTTTCAGTTACCGACTGTAAGTAGTGACCAACGAACACGCCAGAATTGTTGAAAATATTTGGATTACCAACAGTTAAAGAAGCTGTATAGTCGTCACCGCGGTAATCGGTTGTTAATTGGGCAGCTGTGAGCTTGGAATCTTGAATCTGAATAAGCAAGTTTTTACTTTTATATGTATAATTGT